TGGTTGCATCATGGTTAGTGAGTGATGTTCATGTGCATGTGGTTGCATCATGGTTAGTGGAGTGATGTTCATGTGCATGTGTTGCATCATGGTTAGTGGGAGTGATGTTCATGTGCATGTGGTTTGCATCATGGTTAGTGGAGTGATTGTTCATGGTGCATGTGGTTGCATCATGGTTAGTGGAGTGATGTTCATGTGCATGTGGTTGCATCATGGTAAGTGGAGTGATGTTCATGTGCATGTGAAGGAGGTGATGCTGAAATCTGCAAGACCAAGTTCAAGTGCAAGTCCCTTGGTGACGTGAACTTCTACCTTGGGCCTCCACATCGATCGAGACGTGGAGAAGCGGAGCATGCGAGGTGCACCAACGGAAGTACCTGGCGGCGTTGGCCGCCAACTTCGGCCAGAGTGAAAGGTCATGTGGCTACGCCCTTTCCCCTCCCTCTGGGTTCAAGTGTGTGAAGGGACCAGAGGAGGAGAGCGTTTGTGAAGAGGAGAGGCGCCGTTTTTCACTCGTTGGTGGGCAGCCTCATGTATGCGGCGGTAAACACCCGACCGGACGTCGCGTTTGCTACCGGTCAGCTAGCTAGGGTAGTGCAATGCCCTAATGAGGAGCAGGTAGCAGCTTGTAATGAGGGTGGCCAAGTATCTTGGCCAAACACCGACCGTTGGGTCTGCAATACTCGGCGGCGGCACAAAGGCGCCAAAAGGGTGCGGATGGTGTTGAACCCGGGGCGTTTGTATCCTCACCGCCCTACTCGGATGCTTCAATGCATCGGAACCAGAGGACATGGACAAGTGTGGGAGGCTTCATATGCTGTGTTGGTGGAGGCCCAACTGCTGGGAGAGCAAGAAGCAGGTTGACCAAGCTTTGAGCTCGGTGGAGTCCGAGTACATGGCACTCTTCCGTGCGGTACGGGAGATTGTGTGGCAGCGCGTTTGTTGGCTGAATTGGGGGAGGAGCAGCAAGGACCTACCCCACTGTACTGTGACAGCCAGGGTGCCATTGCTCTTGCTAAGAACCCTGTGTTGCATGGACTCACGAAGCACATGAGGGTGAAGTGGCATTGGACGAGGAGCATGGTGGCCGCGGGTGAAGTTGAGTTGCGCTACATGAAGACCACGGGGCAGCCGGCTGACATGATGACCAAGAGGCTGGTGGAGCAGCAGCATTGGAAGTGTTGCAAGCTGGCTGGGATGGCTCTGAACTAAGAGAGCAAGATCCTAAGGCCAACAATCCGAGGGGGAGTTTGTTGGTGCAACCCTACGGTTTGCACTCGGCTTGTTGTCCGTGTGCGTGCATGCGTGTGTACATGGAATGGAATGAGTGCATGAAATAGATATATATTTCATGCTTATAATAGTGTGTGAATGATGGGTCATGATGTCAAGTGTGTGTGTCAAGTCAATAGCGAATTATCGCTATGTCACGTGTAACGTGGTCGTTTTGTGTGTCCCGCGCGGTTTCTATTTTGGTCGCTTCTCGAACGTTCGGGCGTGTCGCAGGTGTGTGCAGCACACCCATCAAGAACTCAAGGATGAGTTTGTGGTGAAGAACCCAAGCCCTGGTGTCAACATTCAATGATCGCGAAGCCCGCGAAAAAAGGGTACACCTCAAGATATTGAAGATAGTTACATTTACTTTGTGGTAGTGTAACATTTCACTTGGTGTAGGCCCTAGTGAAGGGTAGTTCGAGACCCTTCGTGGTTGGGGACAGTGTGGCACTGTTCCACATCACCTCGGCTCTTGGGGTTTGTAGGAGCTGGGAGTCATTCCCAACTCGTAACTCTCCCTAACTCTTCCTATCTTGTGTTCTAAGACTATAGTGGCTACCATAGTGCCGTTCGTGTTGGTTGCAACCCTACGGTTTGCACTCGGCTTGTTGTCCGTGTGCGTGCATGTGTGTGTGTATGGAATGGTATGAGGGCATGGGATAATATATATTTCAGCTTATAATTGTGTGTGAATGTTGAGTCATGATGTCGAGTGTGTGTGTCGAGTCAATAGCGAGTTATCGCTAGACGCGTGTTACGCGGTTGTTTGTGTCTCGCGCGCGGTTTCTATTTGTCGTGCGCGGTTTCTATTTTGTCCTGTGTCAAAACGTTCGGTGTGTCGCAGGTGTGTGCAGCAGACGCCCATCAAGAACTCAAGGATGAGTTTGTGATGAAGAGCCCGAGCCTTGGTGTCAAGCCTCAAGTGATTTCGAAGCTCGCCAAAAAAGGGTACACCTCAAGATATTGAAGATAGTTACATTACTTTGTGTAGTGGTAACATTTCACTTGGTGTAGGCCCTAGTGAAGGGTAGTTTCGAGACCCTTCGTGGTTGGGGACAGTGTGGCACTGTTTCCACATCACTGTACCTCGGCTCTTGGGGTTTGTAGGAGCTGGGAGTCATTCCCAACTCGTAACCCTTGCTAACTCTTCCTAAGACTATAGTGGCTGCCCATAGTAACCGGTTCGTTCAAACCGACGCTGTGTCGTCAATTCTTTATAAATCCGTGCAATCTAAATTGCTAATTGTAGACGACGTGAAGACCGCTCCAGATCCAATTTGAATCAAGTTATTTGCAGCTGTGAGCAGAACGCTATCATCGTTTGAAAGCCGCTGTGCAGAAATCCGTCTGTGCTCTCTATCTTTCGTTTTAGGCACATTCAAGCCCTATTGTGACCTATAACAAGTGGTTATCAGAGCCCCCTTGGAGCAGTTTCGACAATGTCTGGACCTGAGGAAAGGGGTGGCAGAGGTGCTGGTGGCAGTGGAGAAGCTCAAGCTCAAGGCCAACCCCGTGATTCAGCCATGGCGCCACATGCAACCAAGTCTTGGCCCACCTAGGGATGAGCCTAGGGTGTTTGGGCTTGACAAGTTCAACGGTGACAACTTTGCTGAATGATCCTTCAAGATGGAGAACATACTTTGACCACTATGACCTGCTGGAGGTGATGGAAGGAACGGAGAAGCGCCCCGAGAACGACCCGAGAAGAGCCCCGTGGGTGGCGGAAGAGCGCACAAGAGCTATCTCTTACTTGGGCAAGCGTTGGGAGCAGTCAGATCCGTCACATCAAGCCATTCCAGCGTGAACCAGAGAAGGGACCAAAGGCATGGGCTGCTCTCAAGGGTGTACATGCTCCTGCAACAGCGGCGGTAGCGGTGGTGTTGGAACGGCAAATGGCGGCACTACGAATTGAAGAAGACGAAGCGGTTGAAGAAGGGGTGCAGGAAATTCTTCGACTTGTTAGACGCGGCTTGAGGGAGCTGATTTGAACTACAGTGAGCTCCAAAAGAAGACCAAGTTGCTGGCCTTACTCCCAGAGTCATGGTCCTCCTCGCATCCATCATCAACCTTAATCGCGACTTGCCCCGCCTCTTCTCGCTTGAAGACGTGAAGCGAGCTATCCTTCAAGAGGATTCCGCCGCCGTGAGTTGGCGAGTGCGGATGGGCGCTGGGGGCAGCGAGCATAGCGGCCCGTGGATATGGTCGAGGAAGAGGCAGAGGACGAGGGGAGGAAGGTTTGGTGGCAGCAACTTCGGCGGAGGCCGCAGGAGTGGCGGTTACGGCAGCGACGACAAGAGCTACGGACGCGGGTCAGCGGCCGATTCGACTTGGTTTCAAGATTCAAGTGATTTCGAAGCTCTCCAAAAGGGTAAACTTTAAGATAGTGAGAATAGTTGCATTACTTTGTAGTGTAACATTTCCTCTTGGTGTAGGGCCCTTGTGGAGGGTAGTTTCGAGACCCTTCGTGGTTGGGGACAGTGTGGCACTGTTCCACATCACTGTACCCTCGGCTCTTGGGGTTTGTAGGAGCTGGGAATCATTCCCAACAACTCTTCCTAACTCTTCCTATCTTGTGTTCTAAGAATATAGTGGCTACCATAGTGCCGTTCGTTTCAAACTGACGCTGTGTCGTCAGTGCTTAATGCGATCTAAATTGCTTAGAGGAGGCGACGTTAAGACGCTCCAGATCCAAGTTGAATCAGGTCATTTGAAGCTGTGGACCAGAACGCTATGACGTTTAATGCCGCTGTGCAGAAATGCGACTGTGCACTCTATCTTTCGTTTTAGGCACATTGGGAGCCTACTGTGACTATAACACAAAACCACGCAACAGACTGACATGACGGGCAGAAAAAAAATATTTATGCAATAAACTGCCAAGCTAAAAAACGAAATCCGCCCACACGTCATCGGCGATGAATTACAACAGCTATACGGACATCGTATGCGCAGCAGAGCAGTTCGACACATTGAACAATGGTCAACACGGAGCACGACGCAAACCAGCCGATCAAGAACTTATGCGCGGAGCGAATCTGCAACCCCCACGACTGCGGACTTGATGGATATCGGCAAGATCGACACGAAGCACAGCGGCCACCGAAAATTGAAACGTGCGAAATTTGCAGTGCTATAGGGCATCAAATCTTGACGTGTCCGGAAAATGAAAAAAAGCACGTGCGGATTTGCCGGGAAAAAGAACAGTGTGGCACCTCTGAAGTCAAAAAACACGACCTGCACCCAGTGGGCCGCAGATTGAGCTGGCGACTAGGAAAGGCCGAAAAGCGGAAAACGTGATGAATTCGAAGAGGCTGAAAAAAAAAGGAGAGAATGATGGTGCGGATTCAAATTGTCACGACCGACCGGTGCAAGGGAAATCGCTAAAACAAAGGGATAATCCGCAAACAAGACCCTACACACCAACCAAGAAACTCCAACCAAACACCTCAACGAGTAACAATTCGTTAAAGTTTATCCTATAAAGATACTTTAATTACTGAATACTAGTTCTTTGTGAATTTAAAGCCTTTAAAAATATTATGCAATGGTTAGAGGCTAAGAGAAAGCCTTTAGAAATATTACCAGCATCAACAACGTTGGGAACTCAAGTCCGAAGCGTAGAAGAAGCGTCGAGCGTTTGGAGGAGTTAATAAATCTCTCCCTGCGGTACAGTGTTAAGGCTCCCCAGTTCCCACATGGGTGAAAGCCTACACAGTTGCAAAGACTTAGGGGAAGGGTTCTAGACTCACGAGCATTTGAAAAAGCCACAGAAAAATCCTCCAACCCCACACTTCAGTAAAGTTGAGATAGTTTTTGCAGCATCGAGTGTAGGACCTCCCTTTAATGAGGACCATCTTCGGCTACTTGGAGCATCAGCAGCCATAGCTCCTTGAAGTGCTTTGCAAAGGGCGATGCCTCCATGCGATAGCTGATAATGGTTCGTTTCACTCGGTGTGCAACCACGGGACATTGGAATTTTTAATTTGGAAACCCTTGGAGGAAACCCTGTTCACAGGCGACGATGGTGGCCAACAACAATCTACCCATCTACGACGAATGTACTCTACTATTGCAGTTAGGGCACTGCGGTGGAGGCCTACGCTATCGGTCACGAACATCAAGGGCCTAGATTTCATCTTGGGTGAGATTTTCAACCCGTTGCTGCTGCTGTTGGTGTTGCTGTTGCTGGGTTGGTGTGATTGCTGCTGCTGACTGCTGCTGGCTGCTGGCTTGCTGCCTTCTTCTTCTTTCTTCTTCCTTCTTCTTCTTCTTCTTCTTCTTCTTCATTCTTCTTCTTTCCTTCTCCTTTCCTTCTCCTCCTCCTCCTCCTCATCCTCCTCCTCCTCCTCCTCCTCCTCCTCCTCCTTCTTCTTCTTCTTCTTCTTCTTCTTCTTTCTTTTTGTTTTACCTTTTGCCGCTGCCTGCCTAGAGCTTTGCATTTCATATTTTATTCACTCTGAATTCACCTCCCTTTCCAAAAACAAAACACAAAAAAAAACTCTGAAGGCACTTCGTCCAAAAATTGACTGGCACTCTGTTTCGTCAGTGTACTAAAGTCAAGAAGTCTTGTCCACTCAGGTTGGCGGGTCTTGTCAAGAAGTTATATGAACCAGCAGAATGAGTTTAACTAACAGAATGGGAGTACAAGTGGGGAAACCCTAGAAAGTTGTATCCCCTAAACGCTAGCCCACTGTATAGCCTAACAATGTATATACATGCAGTTTTGACACACACCCATAGGCAAATTGGGGGAGAAGCAAAGCACAACAAACTGTCACAAGACCAGTCAAGAGAAGCAACCAAAGCAAAGCTCAGGGTGGATCTCAAGATCACAACATTATCTGACCACAAGCAAGCGGCCACAAGGCCAGTTCACATGCAAGGTTCTAATAGCACAACCAATACAATGATAACAACCTAGTAGCAGTAAACATGCAGGTATATATGCATATATATACATATATATATATATCAAAGTACAAGGTAGAGTCAAGAGGCAAGCAAGTGAGGCGTAATAGGCACAAAGCCTAGAGTAGTGCAGAAATGCTGATGATCACCAGACCTTAGGGCTTTGTTGAATATATCAGCAATATTGGTCTGTGAGTCCACGTAAGCAAGGCGAAGCTGACCACGCTGCTGTACTCTCAGTGCGAGAAAGTAACGACAAGCAATGTTTTTTTGTTTTGTGGTCCAGTCTCTGCTCCCAGGCACAAGGCCATCATAGCCTTGTTGTCAACGTACATAACTGGAGGAGAACGAGGCCCGCGCGCCCAAGTCAGTCACCAAATAGGTTCGGGCCGGCGTAACTCCCGGTGCAGCATAGCCCCTAGCGCAGATCTTGGCCACAGCTGGAGCTAAGCACAGAAGAAGAGCGAGTGGACCTCCAAGAGAGAGAACCAGATGTCGAGACTGAAAGTGTAACCCTATGACAGCCACTGAGTCGCCTGGTCAGCCCAAGAGACGTCTTAGTGTCCTGTAAGCACAACTGGACTCTGTCCCCCCAAGCACAAGCCCATGCCTGATGTAACGCAGTACCCTCCGCGGAGCACGGTAGTGCTCAAGGCGGTGTTTCCCAGGTGCAACGTAGCACGCCAGGATGCTGAGAGGGTACACCAGGTCAGGTCAAGTGCACGTCATCAGGTACCACAAGCTCTGGATACATACCACTTGGCTCTACGGACTCATCTGAAGAAGGAGCTGAGAGCGACTGTCTGGTAGGCAGAGAAGCGGGCTGTGGCGAGGAGAACTGAAAGCGGAAGCGCTGACGGACCTGCTGCACCATGTGTGACTGAGTCAATGTGGTGGTGCACGCTGCTCCGGCCCAGGTGATCTCCAAGCCAAGATAGCGACGCAGCTCACCCAGATCAGTGTAGATGTGTCACTTCTACAGCTCCGACTTTTATAAGGGCCAGTGCCTCAATGTCAGTCGCAAATACCAAGTCGTTTACGTACATGAGGATGTAGAATGGTGGCAGATAAGGGTCGTTGCGCAGAAATAGCAACGGGTCACGTGTGGTCGAAGGAGCAAAAACAAGAGTGTCGTCCTCAATGTGTCGTGCCACTCGTGGGGCGCCTGACGGAGACTGTAGACTGGCCGCCGGAGGCTCCACTAGGTACCCTCAGGAAATGACCCAATGAAGCCAGGTGGGTGGCACAGCCAGATCTCCTCGTGAAGGCTGCCCCGTAGAAAGTTGTGGAGAAGTCAAAGGAGTGCAGCTCGTAGTCACAATGTGCTGGCAACGTGCAGTAGCACCCCCAAAGATGTGCTCATCTTTGGAGTGGGGGGAGAAATTCAGGAAGAAGTCGACCCCCAGACGCTGACTAAAGCCTCGTGCAACATAACGTGCCTTTGAAGTTAGGCTGAGAACCTTGCGGCCGGCTTCACCACCCCTAATATTCCACATGACATTGACTATGTTTGCTCTAGGAGGGGGAACTGTGTTGACTTAGGTTGCCTGTGGACTTCCACGTAAGCCATCTCTGCGTCCATGGATGTCTGCCACTAATAGGAGTACTGAACCATGAGCGCCTCTGCGTAAGAGCGCGGGGTCAGGATGTCTAGGTGCATCCAGATCTCCCTTAGGGGCAAGCAGCATGGCAGCGAGATGAGGTACTGCAGCTGTGCGGGTTCTCCATCTCAAACTGCCTGTCCTCAAGGATGGTCACAGCCAAGGGCAAGCTCACCTCGATGGACGGAGGACAGTCAGAGTCAGAGTCAGAAACAAGTACCCCGCCGGCCCTTTCGATAGCGGGCCCCGCGCCCTTTCGATAGCGGGCCTGCGTGGTCCCGTCGTCAGTTGCACGTACGCACAGCAGCAGCCAGCAGCGCGCGAACGTGCAGCTCACCGCCTAAACCGCTTCCCCACCCTCAAACGGCTGTCTTACCCGCCGCCCCATATCCTTAGCCGCCCCCCCCCACGAGTTGAAGTCTGCCGCCCCAACCTAACACACCGCTGCCCCAGGACCTGCCTCACCCATCGCCCCACCAGTTACCCTCAAGCCCCCCCAACTAGCCACACCTGGGAAACCATAGTCTAGCCACCCGTACCAATGAACCGCACAGACCGCCCCCCACCCCAGAACAGCACAGATTTGGCACAGAACCGCACAGAAACCGCACAGAATCGTACTCCACCCGTGCTAGCTCCCCTGGAACTGCACAGAACCGCATTTCCACCCGTGCTAAACCCCTTGGAATCGCACAGAACCACATCTCCACCGCTCTAGATTGTTCTTCACCGCTCCCAACCGCACTGAAGTGCCCTCCATCGCTCCCAACCGCATCAAACCGCACACGACCTCTCCCACAAACACCAGAACCGCACTCAGCCGCATTCCACCACACAGGCCGCTCCCAAACCGCATTCTAACCGTCCTACACTGTTCCCAACCTCTCTCAACCCCACCCAAAACGTTCACCATCGCACTAGACTGCCATCAGGTGCACCATCAGCAGTATACGCTGCCCCCCAGGTGCACCAACAGCAGCTTAGGCTGCCACCAGTAGCACCAGCAGCAACTTAGGCTACCGCCAGCGTACCCCCCCCCCCCCCCGTACTAGCTTGCCATGTCGTTGTGGCGACAGCCGCAGCAATAGCAGTGGTCTCAGCAGCAACAGTGGCAGTGGCAGCAGCACAGGTGGCCGCAGCTGCAGAACTGCGAGTTCAGCTGCAGCGCCTACAGCAACCTCCGCAGCGGGGCCCCTGATGGACCCGGCCAGTACATACACCGGTACGTGGGAGCTGCAACTGCTATTGAGCCTTGTGTTTCCAGTCTTGGTGCGAGTGTAGTTTCCGGTCCAGGCGCCTTAGAGGTTCTTAGTGTAGGATTTGCAGCCACCACTAGACTAGTACCAGCCTTTGTCGTTGGCTCGAGGTGCGACCTCACCCGACTGCAACGGCTTTCTTTCACCCTAGACTCTGGAGCGTCCAGCTGGCTTTCTTTCCGCGACTGCACCGACCTCACGCCCACTGCACACTCCAGTCACTGTCGCCTTGGCTGACCCCTCCGTAGTGTCTGTAGTTGCTGAGAGCACCACCACTCTCCGTGTCCAGCAGCTCCCTCTAGGTTTTTCTGAGAGGTTACTACACCCCCTTGTTTCTCTAGGAACCTGGTGGGTTTGAGTCCACCTCCACGACCTGGGAGTTGTCCCACTTTCCCCACTACACAAACCTGTTGCTTCCTGCACAAGTTGGTGCCACTGGGGCGCCTCTAGCCACTTTCCACAGGGAGCCGGGCTCTGGTTTGTATTCACTACCACACTGGGTCCCACCACACTGGGTCAGGACAGGTCAGATAGCTGCTGTGTCGTGCAACTGTCGGTCACTCACCCACCCGTCGGTCCTCTGGCACCACCGACTTGGTCACCCGTCGTTCCAACGTCTCAGTAGGATAGTATGTCACCGTCTTGTCTCAGGTCTTCCAGAGTCGCTTGCCCCGCTTCCTCGCTCGCAGGCTGCGCCGCTGTGCACTCCTTGCGTCGAGGGTCGGCAGCAGCGCTGCCCCTCACTCCTCCTCGTTCCCCCCCCACCACGGCTCCTTTACAGACCCTGCACTTGGACGTCTGGGGCCCCTCCCCGGTCCGTGGCCCACGTCAGGAGCGCCACTTCATGGATTGTGGGTGGATCGACTACTCTCGCTAGTCATCCACGGTTTTCGCCTCTGCGACGGAAGGCCGACGTGCTTACCGTCCTTGAGCCGTGGCTACTAGCAAGGGGTGGCGTCCAGGGCCTGTGTGGGCTCCGCCTATACTCGGACCGTGGTGGTGATTTTTCTTCCACTCGCCTGAAGACGTTCTGTCAGGGTTGGGGGATTATCCAGTCTTACACGCTACCAGACTCGCCGCAGCAGAACGGGGTAGCCGAGCGACGCATCGGCCTGGTCATGGAGGTTGCCCGGACCTCCATGTGCCATGCCGGTGCCCCCCAGTTCTTGTGGCCTCAGGCAGTCCGCTACGCCGCGCACCAGCTGAACCTATGGCCTAGTGACGCACGGCCACGGGTGACGCCGATCTTCCTTTGGACAGGTTTTCCGGGCGTAGCAGCTGACTACCGCGTCTGGGGTTGTCTGGCTCACGTTCGCGCCCCTGGCGCAAACAAGTTGTCTGCGCGCACCCGTGCCTGCGTCTTTCTTGGCTTCCCACTCGACGCCTCACGCTGGGTGTTCTACGACCCTGTTACCTACCAGTTCTTCAGTTCCTAGGACGTCACTTTCGACGAGTCGGTCAGTTACTACAGGAGTCGCCCCCACCGAGGTTCTGAGACCTTTTCCCCCCCGCTCTTCCTCACCACTTGACCCTCCCCCCAGTCGCCTCGGTAAGGCCCCCCCCCCCCCTTCGCGTCTTGCCCCGTCAGGTGTGTCGCACGTCACTCCGCAGTCGTCTCCCCCGCAGCGGGTCCAGTCTCTGTCAATGTCTGGGGGTGGCGGGAGGTGCAGCAGTAGGGGGTGAGGGTACTGGGGGCTGCTGGAGCTGGTGGCTCCGGGCCTCTGGGGTGCTGGGGGTGTGGATGGGGAGGTCCCTCCAGTGGAGGACACTGCTGCCTCGAGTCGGCAGCCTCGCCCCGCCTCACCCCCTGGCTTCCGTTACTCCCACAGTTCCCTCCCCGCTCGCCTCCGCAGCCGGTCGCTGAGGAGTCTGGGGGTGTTCCTGCTAGAGGTACTGGAGGCCCTGGGGGTGTTGTCGGTGGAGGTTCTGGTTCTGGGGGTGCTGGAGCTGGAGGCGCTGCCACCTTGGCGAAAACACAGCGCACTGTCCATTTCCTGACACGAGAGCAGCGTCTGGTTCGTTTGGAGAGGGAGGAGCGTGAGCGGTTTGAGAGGGCACAGCAGCAGCAGCAGCAGCAGTCTCTGTTGGAGCGTCAGGAGAGAGTAGAGGAGGAGATACGGCAGTAGCAGCAGCTTCAGCAGCTGCAGCAGTCTCGGTCGGAGCGTCAGGAGAGAGTAGAGGGGGAGTCACAGCCGAGTCAAGAGAGAGTAGAGGAGGAGTCACAGCAGCAGCACAAGCAGCAGTCTCTGTCGGAGTGTCAGGATAGAGTAGAGGAGGAGTCACGGCAGCAGCAGCAGCCTCAGTCGGAGCGTCAGGAGAGAGTAGAGGAGTAGTCACGACGGCCGCAGCAGGTACAGTTGCAGCCACAGCAGGAGATTGTAGAGCAGGAGTCCCGCCCGCAGCAGCAGATGTTGTTGCAGCCACAGCAGAGAGAGTAGAGGAGGAGCCACAGGAGCTGCAGCAGGGGCAGGTACCGCAGCAGCTGTCGACAGAGGAGGTGGACCAGCAGCGACTGAGAGACCTGCCCGACTCAGCACCTGCACGCTTTGTTCGTGGTCCCCAACCGTCCCTTCCTCTTCCCCCTTTCGAGTCCCTTTCCTCGTCCCAGTGGACTCGTCGTTCTCCTGTCAGTCGTGCTATGTCCCCAGAGCCTCGTCGGTCCCGTTACCGTGCCGACCGCCCGTTTCACCTTGTTCTTCGCTCTCGTGTTCCGTCTCCACCTGTCCTTCTACAGCCTCCTGAGTCGTCCTTCACTGTGCTTCACGACCCGTTGTACGACTACCTCCGTGCCTCCCATCCTGTCGTCTCCCGTGTTTTGTCCGCGTTGGTCACTCACCCGACTGCACCCATGTCGTCTGTCTCAGCACTTGTTACCACTGTCGCTGGCTTTGCCTCTTCCCACCGCCTTGACTACACCGCTCACTTGGTGAGTGGCCCTCCTCATTCTCCGTCCTCTAGGGTGCTCCTGTCTTTTCATTGGAGGTCCTGGAGGAGAGGCAGTTCGAGCTTGGTTTCCTTGCGGCCGCTGTTCCTCATCTCTGCGCCATGCTGCTTGCCCCTGAGGGGATCCAGACGCCCTTGATATCCCGATCCCTTGCACTCACGCTGAGGCGGTCTCGGGACCCTGGGCTTCGTACTGGATAGCAGCTGAGGAGGCAGAGATGGCATCTTATAGGTCCACAGGCACCTATGTCGACGCCGTCTCTCCACCTGGGACGAACGTTGTTAGTGGCATGTGGCTCTACAAGGTGAAGCAGCCGTCGGGAGCACCACCGATGTTCAAGGCGCGCTACGTGGCGAGAGGCTTCAGTCAGCGAGAGGGGGTAGACTTCTTTCAGACCTTCGCTCCCACCCCGAAGATGACCACTCTTCGGTGTTGCTGCATATTGCGGCACAGCGCGACTACGAGTTGCACTCCTTGGACTTCTCTACCGCGTTTCTTCAGGGGAGTCTGCACGAGCAGATCTGGCTGCGTCGTCCGCCTGGCTTCACTGGCTCTTTCCCCACCTGGGACCCAGTGGCAGCTGCGTCGACTGGTCTACGGCCTGCGACAGGCTCCTCGTGAGTGGCACGACACACTTCGCACAACACTTGCAGAGCTTGACTTCTTTCCGTTGTTTGCTGACCGTCGTCGTTGTTCGTTCTGTCGTGGCTCGGCCGTGTTCTTTGTTCTGGTCTACGTTGACGACCTGGTCTTCGCCACTCCCGACCGACGCGCACGCTGGCCTCCGTGAAGGAGGAACTGCAGAGGAGACACACTTGCACTGACCTTGGTGAGCTGCAGCGCTACCTTGGCTTGCAGATCACCAGGGACAGGGCAGCTCGCACCATTACGCTGACGCAGTCGCATATGGTCGAGCAGATCCTCACGCGGTTTCGCTTCCCGTTCTCCAAGGTACAGCCCACCCCTCTTGCTGTGGATCATGGGCTCACGGCTCCACCTTCGGACGAGCCTTTTGAGTCCAGTGGTCCATATCCTGAGCTGGTGGGTTGTCTCATGTACCTGATGACCTGTACTCGCCCAGACCTAACTTACCCTCTTAGCGTTCTTGCGCGCTTTGTTGCGCCTGGGAGACACCGACCTTCCCACTGGTACGCTACTAAGAGGGTAGCGAAGTATGTGGCGAGTACATAAGGCATGGGACTTGTCCTTGGAGGGAAGCAGCCAGTTACACTTACAGGTTTCTCGGACTCGTCGTGGGCCGACGACGCTGAGTCGCTGCGGTCTACACAGGGTTACTGCTTCAGCCTTGGGACCGGAGCTGTTTCGTGGAGGTCGACTCGGGCGTCGTCCGTCTCTAGTTCCAGCTGTGAGGCAGAGGTGTACGCTGCGGCCATGGCCGCCCAGGAGCTTCGCTGGCTGTCTTTCCTTCTCACCGACCTTGGTGAGCGGCCTCGCTCTCCCCCAGTCTTGTTCGCTGACAACAGGTCTGCTATCCTGTTGTGCGAGGAGCCCCGACTGGTTGGGAAGGCAAAGCACATCCAGCTTCGTTCCTTCCTTCTGCGAGAGATGCAGCAGCGTGGCCAGGCACTCGTGCGACGTGTGGTCTCTCAGGCCAACACGGCAGATATTTTCACCAAGGCGCTGCCGCCTTGTGACCACCAGCGTTTCTGCACCCAGCTAGGCCTTGTGCCTACCGGCCCTCACTTGCTTGCGTAGAAATGCTTTGTCTTGTACTCTTGCGTCTTACTATATATCCGATATATGTGCTTGTGGACAGGCCTTGTGGCCCTTTGCTTCTGTAGAGATGCTTGTCATGCATGTCGTGTACTCTTGCATGTTTTATATCTGCTATATCCTTGCATGTGGACTGGCCTTGTGGCCTCTTGCTTGTTCTCGGACTGTGTTGTGACCTTGAGCTCCACCCCGAGAGTTGCTTTGTTCTTGTTAACTGGTCTTGTGACCGTTGCTTGTTCTTGCTGATTGATCCTGTGACCCTTGCTCTTGGGTTGTGTGTTGCTCTCCACAGGACTACCGTCACCAAGACTATGGGGGTGTGTCAAACTATAGTTGTTATAGTTTGTATTGTTTAGTCTAGGTGGTGTATACATTGGTTAGTGCTCGGGTTAGGTTTGCTATATCTACCCTTGTACTTGCTCATTCTAATCATTACATTCTCATAACTCAAACACTGGCGTCTGCTGCGACGGTACCGGCGGCCCCTACTGCTGCACCTGTGGCTCCGCCTCTGCCCTCTCCTGCTGCGACTGCAGCTGCACCCGCTGCTTCGACCGGGACTCCTGCGCTACCCACCTCCTGCTGCGGCGCGACTCCTCCTCTACTCTCTCCTGCTATGTGTGTAACTGTACCTGTTGCTGCGGGTGGGACTCCTGCGCTACCCTCTCCTGGTGCGGCCGGGACTGCTCCTCTACTCTCTCCTGCTGTGTCTGTAACTGCACCTGCTGCTGCGGGTGGGACTCCTGCTCTACTCCCTCTCCTGGTGCGGTCGTGACTCCTCCTCTACCCTCTCCTGCTGTGGCTGTGACTCCCCCTCTACCCTCTCCTGCTGCGGCTGTGACTCCCCCTCTACTCTCTCCTGCTGCTGTTGCTGCTGCTGCTGCTACTGTGCCCTCTCAAACCGCTCACGGTCCTCCCTCTCCAACTGTCGCGATATATGTTTATATATGTTTATAACTGCCTATAACTTTAGCTCCAGTGTAGTTATGATTCTTTGTTGTTGTGATGCACCTTTGCTAGTTTGCTATATGTACCTTGTATGCCATAGTGAACAACACACATTCTCACTTTCTCTTGACCACTATTCTCTCGACACCCGCTTGGCCTAGGCTTCTAAGCCTAGGCCCTAAACCCGGTTCCTAGTTAGCTTAGTATTGTGACATGGTATAGAGCGATTAAGTTCCTGACCTAAGTTAATGGGCCCACCCATTCGTGGCACGGCGCTCGCTGCGACGGGCGTGGCAGCGAGCCGGCCGCGTTTCCCTCATCGCCAGCCCATCGATTTTTCCCTTGTCGCCTGCCCGTCGCCAACCCGTCGCGTTTTCCCCCCGTCGCCAGCCCGTCGCGTTTCCCCCGTCGCCAGCCCGTCGCGTTTCCCCCGTCACCAGCCCGTCGCGTTTTCCTCGTCGTCAGCCCGTCGCATTTCACCACCCTCACCAGCTCTGCCCGCGCCTACGCCTGCTGCCGAGTTTGCGCAAGAGAGGGGAAGGGGGGGGGGACGGCATCGGGAATGAAGGGGACGGCATCGGGAATGAAGGGGATAGCGACGGTGGCCGTCGCCGCGGCCCTTTCCCCCCCCGTCCCGTTTTCTTCCTTCCCCATCGCCTCGCTCCGCCCGTCGCATTCCCCCCGGCCCCTTGCTTGTCACCCCACCCCGTCGCGACTATTCGCGTATGCAGCGGCGGTCGCTGTGGGTGGGAGAGGGAGGAGGGGAAGGGATTGGCGGCGGAACGCTGTGGGGGGAGAGGGAAAGGGGGAAGGGAGTGGCGGCGGAATGATGTGGGGGAGAGAGGAAAAGGGGGAAGGGAGTGGCGGCGGAATTGCACCATCGCCAGCCGCCAGCACCAGGCACCAGCACCAGCGCCAGCCGCCAAGACCAGGCACCAGCTCCAGCGCCAGCCACGAGCACCAGGCACCAGCGCCAGCCGCCAGCACCAGGCACCAGCACCAGCGCCAGCCGCCAGCACCAGGCACCAGCACCAGCGCCAGCCGCTAGCACCAGGCACCAGCACCAGCGCCAGCCACCACCACCAGGCACCAAGGCCAGCCGCCAGCACCAGGCACCAGCACCAGCGCCAGCACCAGGCACCAGCACCAGCGCCAGCCGCCAGCACCAGGCACCGGCACCAGCGCCAGCCACCAGCACCAGGCGCCAGCGCCAGCCGCCAGCACCAGGCACCAGCACCAGCGCCAGCCGCCAGCACCAAGCACCAGCACCAGCGCCAGCCGCCAGCACCAAGCACCAGCTCCAGCGCCAGCCACCAGCACTAGGCACCAGCACCAGCGCCAGCCGCTAGCACCAGGCACCAGCAACAGTGCCAGCCGCCAGCACCAGGCACCAGCTCCAGCGCCAGCCGCCAGCACCAGGCACCAGCACCAGCGCCAGCCGCCAGCACCAGGCACTAGCTCCAGCGCCAGCCGCCAGCACCAGGCACCCGTGACCAGCAGCCCCACCTGTGACCAGCAGCCCCACTTGTGACCAGCAGCCCCACCTGTGACCAGCAGCCCCACCTGTGACCAGTAGCCCCATCTGTGACCAGCAGCCCGACATGTGACCAGTAGCCCCACCTGTGACCAGCAGCCCCACATATGACCAGCAGCCCCACATGTGACCAGCAGCCCCACCTGTGACCAGCAGCCCCACCCGTGACCAGCAGCCTCACCCGTGACCAGCAGCCCCACCTATGACCAGCAGCCCCACCTGTGAAGAATTGGACAAGGACCATCGTGGGTGGGGAGGGGTCTGGAGGAAGAAAAGGGGGGAGGGAGTGCGGTTCCAGGGGGCGGTTGAAATGAGGGGTGAGATTACAGGGGTTGGTTGATTGGGGGTGGGAATGTGGGGGTTAGTAAGAGGGGACGCTGCGGCCACCCCCCCACCTCCACTCCTCATCCCCCACTCAACCCCCCCCTGTGTAAAAGGGGGTTAGTAAGAGGGGACGTCGCGGCCACCAACGTGAGCCAGACAACCTTAGACGCGGAAGTCAGCTGCTACACCCTGTAAACCTGACCAGAGAGAGACCGGCGTCACCCGTGGCCGTGCATCACTGGGCCACAGGTTCAGCTGGTGCGCGGCGTAGCGGACCGCCTGAGGCCACAAGAACTGAGGGGCACCGGCATGGCACATGGAGGTCCGGGCAACCTCCATGACCAGGCCGATGCGACGCTCGGCTACCTCGTTCTGCTGCGGCGAGGCTGGTAGCGTGTACGACTAAATGACTCCCCGACCATGACAAAACGTCTCCAAACGAGTGGAAGAAAACTCACCACCACGGTTCGAGTGTAGGCGAAGCCCACACAGACCCTGGGCACCACCCCACGCTAGTAGCCACGGCTCGAGGACAGTAGGCACATCGGCCTTCCGTCGCAAGGGGAAAACCGTGGTGTAGCGGGAGTAGTCGTCCACCACAATCAGAAGTGGCGCTCCTGACGTGGTCCAAGGACCGGGGAGGGGCCCCAGACGTCCAAATGCAGGGTCTGGAAGGGAGCCGTGGTGGGGGGGAACGAGGAGGAGTGAGGGGCAGCGCGCTGCCGACCCTCGACGAAAGGAGTGCACAGCGGGCGCAGGCGAGCGAGGAAGCGGGGCAAGCGACTCTGGGAGACCTGAGACCAGACGGTAACGTGCCATCCTACTGAGACGTGGGAACGACGGGTGACCAAGACGGTGGTGCCAGAGGACAGACGGGTGGGTGAGGGAGCGACAGTCGCACGACACAGCAGCTACCTGACCTGACCTGACCTGGCCTGACCCAGTGCAGTGGGACCCAGTGTGTAGTGAGTACAGACCAGAGCCCGGCTCCCTGTGAAAAGTGGCCAGAGGGGCCCCAGTGGTACCGACTGTGCAGGAGGCAACAGGCTCGTCCAGTGGGAAAGTGGTGACTACACCTAGGTCGTGGAGGTGACTGACACCCACCAGTTTCCTAGAGAACGAGGGGGTGTAGTAACCTGTATGAAAACCTGAGGGAGCCGCCGGACCACGGAAGAGTGGTGGTGCTGCGAGCAACTACACGTCCCACAGAGGGGGTCAGCCAAGGTGACAATGACTGGAGTGCAGCCAAGTCGCGACGGCCAGTGCGGGTGTAATAGCGTGAAGACCAAAACGCTCACGGTGGAGGTCGTTGAGTCGACGGTAGCAGCTGGACGCAGAGTGATCAGGACTCCCAGCAGGTAGTGCCAGCACCAGGGCCTGTCAGGGCCCGGGTACCCGCAGGGGCCGACGTCCGCCCACTGCTAGCTGAGCCACTGCTGATGGCTCCACACTTTGGACCCGCAGTCCCCACTGCCGGGAGTGCTGCGGCTGGCCCTGCTACTGTAGAACTCGCGTACAAGCCATGTGAGTAGCTAGAAACGGGG